ATATTTGAGAAGTTGCCACAAAGAGGAGGGGGTCAATTTATTTTCCAAAGCACCAAAGGGCAGGAAAAAGAAACAATGGATGGAAATTAACCAAGGAGAGAATCAACCTGGAATTAAGGAAAAACTTCCTAACAGTGACGACAATTCACTATTTGCCTTTAGGAGTTTAAGTGCTTCATCACTGGAGGTTTTTAAGAAGGGACTGCGGGCAGCCCCTTTTCTGAAATGGTATATAGGATCTTCTGCTTGATTAGGGGGCTGGACTAGATCACCTCCAGGGTCCCTTCCAGCTCTATTCTGATTGATTGGATTCCCATTCCTTAGATCCTTCAAGGCTTTTTCTATAAGGGTCGCATCTTCCCTCCCACATCATAGTCCTATATTTCTTATTTCAATCTACCTTTGCGAAGGAGTCCCTTTTCCCCCCTCCCCTATTTTTTAAAACAACCTGTTGGTTGTTTTAAGGCTTTCGCCTTTTCCTTGTTAAAATAAAATGAATAATTACTGAAAGTATCACAGTAGCAAATAAAAATGATCCAAATAATCCTAAAAACCCCGGCAACCCAGCTGCCCCCGGCGCAAGCACCCACCTGCAGCTGGCCGCCATTTGAAACAGGAGGGAGCACCGCTGCACGTGGCCCTTTTATACTACCTTGGCCCCGCCCCGCTTTTCGGGAACCTTGCTCTCGCAAGACCACCATTTTACGCATGCGCGCTATCAAGGAACGCGCGCGCGAAAGGAGATAAAGTCCCCGCCCTTCGGCCGGTCTAAATCCACGCGTGCGCGAAAGGAGGTAAAGCGAATTGAATTTTTTATTGAAGGCATAGAGGCGAAGAGGAAGTGGGATGTGAGCTCGCTTGTGGTTTTCTTTTAGTTTCTTTGGCATCTGGTTGGTCAGGGCAAGGCTTAATTGATAAAGCCATAGGATTGTTGAATTTATTAACTTGTCCAGCGTGTGTCAGCTTTTCAACTTTTAAAATGTATGGACTTCAACTTCCAGAATTCCCTTGTCAGTAATTCTGGTTGGGGACTTATGAGAGTTGAAGTCCAGATATCTTTAAATTGCTAAAGTTGAGACACAACTACTTTTGGCAATGTAAACTGGAAAAGTACATGTGTAAAGGAGTACATTGCAACCAAGTAGGCAGCAACTTTTAAAAATCTTAAATTAAAAACATACTATTGATTGCTTTCTTCTAAAAACAAGGAAAAAATGGAATGGACTACATCCTCTATGTCTAATTTTGGTTTTACGACTGTAATTAATGTATGCACATTTATTGGGATTTAGGATTAATGATTTGATAATGTATTTCCATTTAATAACTGCTGTCCCCCTTTCCAGGGTGTAGGATAGGATAGGATAAGCTAGGATAGGATAGGATAGGATTCTTTATTGGCCATGTGTGATTGGACACACAAGGAATTTGTCTTTGGTGCATATGCTCTCTCTGTACATTAAAAAATATAAAATAATTCATCAAGAATTATAAGATACAATACAGCGATAGTCATGGGTTATTAATAAGCAGTCAAATCATACTCAGAAAAAATTAAACAATATAAATTGTAAAGATACAAGTAACATGGTTATAGTCATAAGTGGGAAGAGATAGATACTAGGAAGGATGAGAAGAATAATAGTAATACACTCTTAGTAAATAATTTGACAGTGTTGTGGGAATTAGTTGTTTAGCAGAGCGATGGCATTCAGGAAAAACTGTCCTTGTAGCTAGTTATTCTGATATGCAGTGCCTTATAGTGTTGTTTTGAGGGTAGAAGTTGAAACCATTTATGTCCAGGATGAAGCGAACAGCAAATTATTGCATTGCAATGCAAATTTTAAGGCTGGTAGCCTACATCATTTTAAAGATGATTTTTTTTCAAATTTGTGGAGGAAATGTATATTACCAATTAAATTTAAGAGAGCCATTTTTTACTGTAATGGTTAAAACCACAGGCTAGAAAATAGAGAGTGAGTTCTAATCCTGTCATAGGCCCAAAAGCCAAGTGAATGACTGGATCAGCTCTAGGCAATGCAAACCTTTTCTGAAAATGGGATTGCTAAGAAATAATGAGTCACCTGGAATTAAAACTGACTTGAAGATGCACAGAGAAAATATTATTCTTTGAGGAACTATTAACTATTATTTTTCAGAAAGCACCAAGAAGAATACTGTTTCCCAAGTGAATAGGATTATCCACAGAGGTAAAATGCTATAATTAAAATGTCTTTCCTAACAATAATTTTATTGTTATTAAAATGCTTCATTCTGTCAGAGAAAGATATTAGTTATGATGTCTATATCAATTTATCTTACAGTTACCACTAAAAAAATGTTATGATGCCTCATAAATCACATATTTGGAAACAAAACTAATTTAGGGAAAGCTAAATCTTTGGCTCTCTTGCGTTGAATAATCTTTTATGGAAGTAAACAGAAAAAAATATAGACAAAATCAGATTATTAACATGCTCAAATAGCTGGCAAAATCACAAAGGCTACAAAATGTCAATACCAACTAATCAGATGCTAACTATATAGCTTTAAGCAATAGAAAATTCTACAACAGAATTATTGTAATTCAAAATCCTGAGGGATGTTTTCAGACAAAGTAAAAATAAGTGACATTAAGTACTGCAGTAGGAATTATTGGCGTGCAGCGGTGCTGATTGAACGTTATTTTAAAGCCAGAAAAATTCTATATTTGGCCAACAGCTCCTTGAAAGTGACTTGCATCTGGAACTTCAGCCACTGTACAAACCACTTGGTACAAAAGCAATGCACAACACACACATATAGATATAAATATATAGAAAAATACACTTGTATCTGGGGAGAAAAACCAAGATGTGCAGCTTTGTAGATCTTTACAGAGCTACTTATTTTTGGGCCTTATTTTTGCGGAGGTCTTATTCTTTTTGAGGTGCAGGAGGTGGTGAGCATAGTCTCCTCATAGCTGCTGCCGCTGTTATAATATTTTCAGGGGAGGGCTTATCTTACCACATGTGCTCAAAAACTCAATTGGGCTTATTATCTGGGGAGGTGTTATTTTCGGGAAAATTTGGGTGCTAGGCAACCAGTCAGCATTTACAGACATTTACGGACATTTGCAGTATTCTGCACACCTGACCGCAATGTATGGTTCTACTGAACATGCCCAAGATGGTGTCCTGTTGCTTTTGAGGAGAGCTTCGGGGAAGATGATTGTCCTTCTCAAAATATAAATATATTTTGTCTTTCACAAACTTCTTCTCTTTGACAATTTATTAAAATCTTTGGCTTCTCTTGCTGAAAATTCCTAGCATGCTCTTCCTCCAAGTGGCCAAAAGAGAGACAGTCATTTTTTCTCTGTGGTCTTTAAACAAGCACACCACACTCTGGGCAGTTCATGCCCTCAAAATGGCAACACAAGGGACTGAAATCAGATACGCCCCCAAAATAGATGGTTAGTGAATTCCTGACCCTGGAGCTGGGCTATGCTGTGGAAGCAAATGTAAGGACCTTTCTAGCTGTGTAGAGGGAAAAGGAACAGAATAAACAAAATCTAAGTTTTGATTTTCTGTCGGACTTCCTAATATAGCAATTTCCACTTGTAGGAGTGGGTTGCAATAGCTACTGTAGAGATTGCTGCTTTACCCACAGAAGTTGTTGGTAAGAATGCACAGGGAGAATAAGCTTCTACCGTAAGGACCATTTTGCCAGCCCAGAATGGATTATCTTAATCTGGAGTTTGGAATCTGAGCTTTCATTGGTTTAAAAAGAGTAAGTGCTTAGTTCTTATAATCTTGGAAGTGGGGGAAAAAGTATTTGTATTTGCTAACGACAGGCCTGCGAATAAGAGGTTCTGTACAGAAAGTCCTTAATTTATGAGCATTCATTTAGCAACTGTTCAAAGTTACAATGGCACAAGTGACGACAAGTCCTTGCATTTAAGACCATTGCAGCGTCACATGATTTAAATTTAAGCACTTGGCAACGTACATAAACTGTATTTATGATGGTTGCAAGTGCTGGAGTCATCCGCCATTTTGCAATCTTCCCAGCCAATTTCTGACAAAGTCAATGGGAGAGGCCTGCTTTAATTAGCAACTGTGTAATTTATTTAACCACTGCAATGATTTTCTTAACCTGGAAAACAAGGATAAAATTAGGTGAACTCACTTAACAGCTGCCTTGCTTATCAATGGAAATTCTGGTCCCAGTTGCGTTAAATAAGTCAAGGACTACTTGTAGTAAGGATTGCAAAACCGAAGGACTTTAAAATGGTACTTTCTGTTTTTTCCATTATTACATACTACTTGCCTACTGCTCGTAATATATATCCCAATGTCCCATGTTCCTTTAATTCTTGCACACATACATATGGAACATACGTTCCATGCACATGCTTCAAGCAGTAAAACTAGAATTTGATATGGCGAAACCAAATAGATCAGCCAGTTTTACTGACAATCCCAGCATATTCCTGGACCTGCACAGATCAGTTTACTCTGGTTGTATGCTTTCCATTGTAGTTATTTGTAGCTTTAAGGTGGAGCTTTATACTTTGGGCTCTGTCCCCCCCCCCCCCTTCCCTATATATTTCATGTGAGTGTGTTGGTTTTCATTTGTAGTGTTCCTAGCACAAATTGTTCACAGAGTAAGAAATTTATCTACTCTGGGGGTCTTAGAGAATTGAGAGAGAGAGAGAAAAAATCAGAATATACTCCCTTATGTATGCCCCGTCAGTTTCCTGGAATAGAAAAGCTGTTCTCTCCCAAGTTTTGGAAAAGATCCAGGGGTACAGCTGTGGCAGCTGTCGGGGCGTGGAGGGAAGAATCTGCTGGGACAGCACGTAAAGATCAATGCTATGCCTCTCTGGGACACTGAGTAGGAAAGGTAACAGCTTCCTCTTAGCATGTCCCAGCCAAAGGACTGTGCAATACTCAGAGCTGGCTAGCATCAGTGGCTTGGTAACAAAGGGTTAACTAGTTCCCCCCCCCCCCCCCAAAAAAAACCAAAACCTCCTGAAGATTGACATTCCCCAGCAAGGAGGAATTTTCCAGGCCTAAATTCATCTCCTACCAGCAACAGCCCTTTTTCCAAGTTTGGAAAACACTGGAAGACTGGAAATCGCAACAGCATGAAAGAGAAAGCAGAACCGAACAAGGAAGACGGGAAAGGTAAATTCAAGTAACTTGAACTTACTTGTGAATGTGTGCAGCAGTTATGAGAGAGAATGAGGATAACTTGGAGAATCAGGGAAGACATCAGGCTCCAGAGGCCACCCCAGCTATGGGAAGAAAGACAGAGCTGAGAGGGAGAAAAAGCAAAGAGAAATATGAGAAGAGCGAATATTGAGGGATGGATATGCTGTGTGAAGAGAGACACAGCAGAAGCAAGTTAATGTGGCAGGGAAGAGCGTGCAAATCTGTTCCATTGTCCATGAATTAGATCACTGCATCAGATCTCCAATTAGGAAAGTGGAAATGATCGTACAACGTGTTTCATAGTATTGTAAAAATTAGGAAGAGTTAACTAAAAAAATTGCTGTCATGAAATCATCCAGACCACAACTATTTATCTCTATTACATCATGCGCTTTATACTGTAAAAAGAATTGTTGCTTTTTGCAATTTGGCAATAGCAGAATCTGTACTGAATACTATAAGAATACGAAAAAAAGGCTAGGATCAATTAAATCAATAATGACTGGCCACTGGCCAGTTAATTTTAATTTAGTAATATTTTAAACTGGAGTAGATGATCTACTTTAGACAATTTAGTGGATTTATTTGCATGCACAAGAATACATACACATTTGGGGAATAAGTCAGCATAAGATTGTTGTATCTGGACAATAAAATAATAGTGCATCATTATATTGATAAGTGGATGAATCATCAGATAGATAATCATTTATTAGATCTGAGGTGCAGCAGATCCACAAATTGTTAACATAACTAGAATTTTTAAAAATCATTCTTTTTTGACAAGTATATTTCCTTGACTTAGTGGTGATTACTTCAATGATGATTATTTCTAATTAAATCTACTGCTGAGATTATCTTTAAAATTGTACTTTACCACAGTTTTTATTACTATAATTTGTATTGTTTGGGTACTTGCTTTTAACATTGCATTATTCCCTGCTCTTAGGGTTTTAAAAGACCTTTAAATAGAATTTTTTAGCCATGGGTAACTCCCATTGAATGATTGACTGAAAAGATTAATCTTGTACATGAGTCAAGAAAGATACATTTTCAGGATAAAATAGGATTAGGTAGGTAAGATATTAGGTAATATCTGTTCGAAAGGGGAAAGGAGTGCACAGTACAGAATGTACATTCATCACAAAAGTTGTAAGGAGAAAAAAAGAAGAAAAACTGCATTTGGGGACCCGATGTAGAAGATTAAATATTGTTAAATATTTAATCTTAAATATTAAAAGAGAATGACAAATAGTAAAAGGGAAAGCTGTCCGGGATAAGTGAGGAAGGGGAAGAGATAAAGGGGGAGGATGATGCTGAACTAGAAGGAGGTGCTATGAATTAGTGAGTGTGGCAGGCACGGATGGAGAACAGAGAGGCAAGGAAAGGCAAGAGAGAGAGAGAGAAAAATGGGAAGGGAGTTGGGGTGAGGGTGACTGGGAGGAAGAGCGGCACAGCTAAGTCCTCCCTGGCACCTGCCCCAGCTCTCTCTCCCTTCCACCATCCCACTGGTGCTGAGCCACCATCTGTTGCTCTGGAACGGAGCAAGCTGAGGACGGGTACGGGCAGGATGGGGGCTCCACCAGAAGGTAGGTTTTCCAGCCAGAAGCAAAATTGCTCAATGGGCATTTGTAGAAATAGGGGAGGGGGGGCGGAGGAAAGGGGTGGGCTCATAAAATGGAAGTTTAGATGCACTTGGAGAGTGGCTGGGGGTGTTCAGTCTTCTACAAACTACTATCTTCCACATAGGTTGGATTGTAGCCTCTATAGTATCCAGCAGGCCAGGGATGATGGGAATTGTAATTGAGCACATCTGAGGGACTTTTCCAGGCCTGGGAGAGTTAGTGTCCACTTCCTACCTGTGAATGTTAAGCATAATAAATGGGAGGAAAGTTTATAGGGTAGATTTTACTATAAAATGAGGTGCAAATGGAGAGACTTAATTGCTTTATGTCAAGGAAGAGAGAGAGAGAGAGAGAGAGAGAGAGGGAGAGAGAGAGGGGGGTAACTATAAATTTGATGCTGGATATAATCCTAAATTAAATTATTCTTACATTGTTTTTGTTATATTTCCTCTATCAAATTTTTATTGCTTTCCTTCGAAGAAGTCTGGGTGGCTTCTGTGGTTCTCTTTCCTCCCCAATTTATTCTGACCACATCCCAATGACAGGAAGGAAAAACTAAGAGAGAATGCAGTACAAAGATTTAGAAGGCAAGACTATAATTTGTGGGGCTGATATTTGGGGAGTAAAATGGCTGCGTGTGGTAGTTATAATGGCTGGGACTTTTTGGACCGCAGATAGCAGTTGGAGAGTATTTTTCAACCTTAGCAGCTTGAAGATGTGTGAACTTCAATCCCACAATTCCTTAGTCAGCATGCTGGCTGGGGAATTCTGGGAGTTGAAGTCCACACATCTTCAAGAGGCCAAGAAACACTGAGAAACACTGCACTAGGGTAAAGCAATGCTCCAATTAAAGTTGGCCAAGGCCTCAGTAAAAGGATCATCAAATGATTGTGGTGTTTATTGAAACGAATCCTTGGATGAGTCGATGCGGTTTGGATTTGGGGGTGATTTGGGATGCTTCCCAATGGACAATTCATAGCACTGGTGTTAGAAAAAATATGTAAACAAATGAATGAGTTTTCTGTGGGTATTTTAAAAGACGAAAGAACCAGTACAGAATCATTGAAGGGAATATGTGCAGAGCAGGGGTGGGTTCCTACCGGTTCGGCCCGGTCCCCTGGTCGGCACAGCATGTTTTGTTTTTTTTCATTTTTCAATGTTCTGCACATGCGCAGACCTATTTATAGGCAACTGCATAAGCGTGCAGAGCCAACCAAGCACGCACATGCAAATTTGTGTGGGCACCGAACCGGCAGTAGTGGGGGAAGCAACCCACCATGCAGAGGTTTTTGCATAGAAAAAAAGTGGGATTTTGATGACAGGGTGGTGGCTACCATCTTGACTTTTTTGACTTCTTCCGGCATCCATACTTACACGGAAGCTTGGACTTGCTTTTCAATAAAATTCCAACAGGTTGATTGGGTAAGAAAGTCCCCTTCTTAAAAAAAAAAAGCAGTATGTTGGGGAGCATTTGGAGAGACTAGTGGGTTGTTGCATTTTTTAAAGCAGGATCTAGTTGGGTAAATTATTTCAGTTTGATTTGGATAAACTTAGTAAGTGCTGATCATACATTAATGGGGAAACCTGCCAAAATTAATTTTTCTACTTAAACAATGCCTGAATTTGTTTCCCCCTCTCTTTTCTACCCATTCCTCTGCTTGGTATAATATATGCCGTCTTGGTTATGCATCAAAAGACAGGGATTATCCCACAATCCATATTTGTAAGCCAATTTGGGAGCCTTTATTTTTCCCAAATGAACAGGGAAGAAATTAGTAATGATTCAGGCGAACTGAAACCAAAGGAAAACTGAAGTCGTAAACTTTAACCAGCTTTGACTGACTTGGAACTGAGATTCTAAGTGTCATGGACAGTTGGGGGTGCCAAGTGGTTTCATTCTGAACCATCGAAGAAAATTTGGGTAGATCTTGGAAAGCTGGCAAGTCATTTCCTAGAATTTGCTTTGCCTCCACCCTGCTGTGGGAAATAAAGAGACAGCCTCCATCTGGCAATTTTGACCAGTTTTTTTTTTAATTCCCCCCCAATCCCCGTTTTTTCTTAGTTGGATGGAAAACTGCAGGCAGTGCAGCCAAATTTGAGAGGCAGAGAGGAGCCATTTCCCTAGAACAAACCCTGAGTCTTCGCAGCCCAGCCCTTGCCAACTCCAGCTGGGAACTGCCTTCTCCCGCCTCTTCTTATTTTCCAGATTCTTTTTTCTTTCTTTTTTGGCTTGTGGAAAAAGCAAATGGAGCCAAAATGAAATTAAGTCGCAGTGCTGGATCTCATTGGTAGGAGGGGAGTTTAATGTAGTCCTGGAGGCTATAAGGAAAAGAAAATGGAAGAAATGGCCATTCTGTCTACCCCAGTAATGGAGCCTGGATGAGGAGTAACTTTGGTGGGATGAAGCATCTGAATAACATGTGAGTTGCTCAGAGCCGTTTAAACAGAGAAATGCACAGTTTTTAGAAAGGCAAATATATACTTCGTGGCAGGACTGCTAAATCTTTTAACAACTTCTGGCACACAACAGTTCAACAGATGTAGATTTTGGACGCGCTGGCGGAGAAAACTGTATCTGCTGATGATATCACATTATTCGGAGAAGTTAAAAACAACATGGGGGCTGGACAGAGCTTAAAACAAACAACTCCAAAATGCAGGAATGAGACGAACAGCAAATGCAATGCAAAGTAACTAAATATAAAATGCTAAGGTGCAAAAAAAAGAGGCTTAGTTGAACCTTCAAGTATAATATATACAAATAAAAAGTCAATTTGGTCTAGCAGTTAAGGTACAGGCCTAGAAACTAGGAGATTGTAAGTTCTAGTCCTGCCTTAGGTACCAAAGCCCACTGGGTGACTTTGGACCAATCACCCGGGGTCTGAGAGTTCTAGTCCCACTTTAGGCACCAAAGCCCACTGGGTGACTTTGGACCAATCACCCGGGGTCTGAGAGTTCTAGTCCCACTTTAGGCACCAAAGCCCACTGGGTGACTTTGATTCAGTCACTCTCTCTTAGCCCAACCCACCTCACAAGGTTGTTGTTTGTGGGGAAAATGGGAGGAAGAAAGAGTATTATGTATATTTGCTGCTATTTATTTATAAATATGAATTTTTATAAACATTTATAAAAATAAAAAAGCATAATAATCTAACGAATACATAATCAACTTCTCCTGAATATCTGTTACTCTGAGAGATACTTTGTGATCCTGATGGCATTACCAAATTCCCACAGTTGAAGTATTGTATGCCTCCCACTTTCCAATGTGGCACTTTGTACATATGAGATTCCAACAATGGTTTGCCACTTTAAAAAAGGCTGCTGAATTGCATTAGAAAATCTTTG